AAGGTTGGAAATGTGGGGATTCCACTGTATAATAAATGCAATCTCTTGAGCAACAGTCAAGAAAATTGTTTGATGAACTCTTAGCTATAGGTACCACTACCGAAAAAGTTCTTTTAAAAATATCTAGTACTTCGTATAACTACTAACCCTTCCCCAATATAAACTACTGCTATAATTTCTTTAAAATCTCTGCTATTGTTCACGTTTTTGTAATGTATTTACAACGTAAAATAATCTCTAAGATATAGTTTTCAGTTTCGTGTAACTGTAATGCTCTATTACATGTTAAGTCTAAGAATAATGTCTAAAAGCCATTTTCAGAGCTGAATTACTTGGTTCATTCTATCCAGAAGTATCAATAATATCCTAAATTATTCCTTGGAGTGCTGTGGCATGTTTAATCGCTTTCTGTGCAACGGTTTTTACAGCTAATCGTCAAGAATGTTGAGTGTGACATGAAGATAAAGCGGTTTTTGCGTCAACAGGTTTAACCTCTTGCGGTGAAAGTCTGTTGGCTTCTGATACCTAAAAGAACAGGTTAATCCGGTTAGCTTTCTTAATTGAAAGCTAGCAGATTCAGTAAAATACGAGCGGTCCTTGACTACCTTCGGAGACAGCCTTTTCCAGGGATTGAGACAGGGTGCAGTGCACAAAGAGAAGTTAGCAGAGTTGGGGCGGCGACTGGGGGATTTCGCGCCACTGTCCACAATCTAAACTTCTGGAACAGACTTTCTCAGGGATAATAGGATGCAGAAAGTACGCGAGCGCGGGTGAAAACCGCCGCGAGACACAGGAGACACAGCAAAAACAGGAAAGGGAGTCACTCGTTGGCGAGACAGAGAAAGAAGAGAAAACGAAGGTCTCTCATTTCTCTCCTTCCACCGCGTGTAGCCTGTCATCGCGGGCAGCGAATCTCACGCGCACTCGCGTATTTCGTGAACCCTAATGAGGGGGTAGTCGTAGTACACGGAACCAGTAGACCCACAAAAAAATCAAAAACTTCGCCGTTTTTAAACAAAGCCTGTCTACTTACAGTTCTATGCAGGCGGGACCCGGCTTGAACTCATCTTGTTCCATGAATGCGAAACATCTCGTACTCACGATGTCTTTTTTGGGTTTGTAGTGCTTGAATTCGAAAAATATCGCTGTACCTTCG